AAATCCAACCTGAGCTCTAAGAATCAAGGTGTGGTTGTTTTATTCACACCGCCATCCTTAGTAATAACATTTCTGCAATTTAAACTTGCTTAAACAATTATGTTAATGATGTATGAGACAGAACGGATTTCTGCTCACTCTCCCATGGCCACGTTAGCATTGCAGAACAATTAAGGAGTAAGTAATTGTAACATTTTTGTCAGTAAAGTCATCAGATATGACTCAGTGTCATAGGGAGCAGATTTTGTTGGGTAAGATGGCATTATTTTTAAATGGTCTCTTTCTGATCATAAATACAATTCAGCTTGTTGTTTATGGCAGTGGTTCTCAAACTTTTGTACTGATGACCCCTTTCACACAGCAGGCCTAAGAGTGCGGCCCCACCCCCTTATAAAGTTTGAGAACCCCTGGTTTATGGCTTTCAGTATCCATCTTAATGATACTCAGACTGTAAGTATCAACGAGCCTGTAGTAACTTTAAAAATATATATTGATTTTTAACTTATCAATGAACAACTTTGAAGAAAAAACTGAAACTATCTGAAAAGTGTCGAGATGCTCAGAAAAGCCATTCAGAACCAAAAGGAGTAAAATACAATCAGTAGATAGAGTTGAGAAGTGACATCTAAGGAAGTTTAGATGCATGAAAAGCTGTGGTTGTAGCAATATATGTGAGATGATTTACAAGTATACTAAATACAGTTTTCATTACAAAGTTTCCCTATAAATTAAATGTTTGGGTATAGACAGACAGAAATTGTCAAATGTAGATCTGAAATGCATGTGCAAATCCTATCCCATTTGCAAATGGGCTCCTGGGTGTACATAATGATTAACTGTCCACCTAAGCGTTCATATATGCATGCAAATGATTATGAGGAATCTGCATTCTAGGCAGCCACTTCTGAAAACTGGGTCCATAGTTTTCAAAACTATGTAGCTCAGCTCAAATGATCTTAATGCAACAAAAGTGAATTTGCTTTTTGACGTACAATAGCATTTCCCAACCTCTAGATAAGGTACTAGTAAAATAGATCCATTTCTACCCTACACACCACACACTCCTCATAATATGGTCTCTTTCCTCAATTTTGTCTCAGACACCGGCATCACCTAAGCAGGCAACAAGAGTTGTGTGACCTCTTACTTTTATATTAACAAAGGAAGCCACACATTAGTTGATAGCTGGAATAAGAAATCATCTTTTCTGTTGTCTAAAAATATCTAGGTTCTAGAAATGTAGTGAAGGTTCTCTCACCCACCTTGGCACAGTGAATGTTAATATAACTTCCACAATGAGTGCAAGCATCTGGGTGATGCGGATATAACCCTAAAGCTATGTGTTGCTCTTGCTCCATGGAGAAGCTCCAAATGCTATCAATAGGAGCTGTGTGCAGAGACCGAGCCTTTTAAGTTATCCTTCTAACTATTATTTCTGGATGCACTTCTCCCTTCAGTACTGTTAAACTGTTTTGTAACCTATTTTGAGTCTTGTATATGAAAATATAACAGACCTCATCACATTTGACTACAGTCTATAAATGCAAGTACAAGGCATCTATGCAGGCTGCAGTATATCACACAGCTAGCATCTGTAGAAGCGGTATGGCTGGCTGGAAAATGGAAATGATTCATGAAGAGTGAATTGGTGTTGGGGAAATGGAGTTGCTCAGAGACCAGGATTTTAACGTTTAATGTTCACTATAGTAGTAACGTGCCAGGCTGAAGAGAGATTTTGAGGCAGGATCTGAAGAGTCAACAGGAAAATTCCTGTGTTTTTAAGGACTTCAGATGTATAAGCATGTACACCCTGTGTACAGCGTGGAGCTCTGCTCTGTGTTGCTGCCTGCATAGCAGCATGCAGGTTCTCCCATCATCCACCAAGCACAGCTACGTAAGGGCCCGTGGAGGCTATCTGATACATTGCACTGGAATGGCTCAGCTGCTGGTGGGGACAGGGAGCATTCCTCCCTTGAGCCCCCTGCCCTCTTCCCTATATCTGTGCAATGCATAGCCCAGATCTAAGCTGGGCACTCAACAGAAGGTTTGTCTTATGTTTCTTTTATGTTTTACCTTGCACCAGGCCACAAGTTACAGCAGCTTTCTCCAAAGTCTTGCTTGTGCAAGTAAAAGCAACGAAGCATGGCTGTGATTCTGGTGACTTGGGAAGCCTTACATCTCTATAGTAATAATAATAATAAACCATACTGGACCAATAAAATACAGTTCAATGCATTTTTAATAAACCTAAAGAGCCTGCTGAACAACCTGGGTTCAGTATCATGTCATCACCAACTAGTGCTGCTAGAATAAAGGGTCTTTCAGTGTAAATAAATATTTCCAGAAATTCATCACTTGACCATAACCTTTGACTATGATAAGATGAAACCTAGCAGTACAGGTATCATTTTTATTATTGGTATTACAATAGCACCTACTAGCCCCTTTTTACTAAGCATTGTACAAACACATGTAATACTATATAAGAGTATATTCCCCAAAGAGTCTACAGTATTATCATCATCCCATTTTACAGATTGGAAATTAGGGCACAGAAGTATTAAGTGACTGACCCAAGGCCACACAGGAAGTCTGTGGCAAAAGTGGGAAATGAAGCCAGATCTCTGAATCACAGCCCAGCACCTTAGCCATAGACCATCCTTCCTATCATCCCTGAAGCATATACTTAAAAACTGCTATTTGGATTAAAAGAAAGTTAAACCATAGTTTTCTGAAATGTCCCTGGCGCCCAAATGCTGAAGTCTCCACAGGGGAAGCTCCCAATGGAGCCAATAGGATTTTGGGCTGAATTAGGACAGCAGTTTTAAGCTCATTGGGAGAACATTGCTGTATATTAAATAACTGATTGTGGGCTTCAAAACCTAGTCTTTAACTCAAGCTTTTCTGCCTAACTGAGAAGATCAGGAGATTACCTGATCTTTTATTTTTAAAACATACCAGACCATAGGATCTGCTCATCAATTTAATTATTTTATCATCAAGTACACAAAAACTGCCCTGCAAGAAGAAAACCCAAAAAACAAACATATATTTTTAGTATAAACATTTATGAAAACACCAGTCTCTAATTTTTGTTTTTGGCTTGCTAATGTGTACAGTTTTGTGAAGACAAAGATAACTCTTTGTCTATGTAGGAAACTGACACATGGCCCTTTAACATTCCTCCACTGGTGGTCCCTTGTACACTGCACCAAGCTGACATATCTCATCCTCACCTTCAAGGCTTTGGCACAGCTCTCTCATCCTACATGGCAGATGTTGTCTCCTTCCACATTGTCCCTTTCTTTCCCTCCAAGAGTGACACCAGACTTAATGCCCTGTTCCTACACTTATTCTCATATCTGATCCTATTCCACACACACACAAAAAAAGGAGTACTTGTGGCACCTTAGAGACTAACAAATTTATCTGTGCTTAAGCTTTCATGAGCTACAGCTCACTTCACTGGATGCATGCAGTGGAAAATTTTCCACTGCATGCATCCAATATAGCTCACGAAAGCTTACGCTCAGATAAATTGGTTAGTCTCTAAGGTGCCACAAGTACTCCTTTTCTTTTTGTGAATACAGACTAACACGGTTGCTACTCTGAAACCTATCATTCCCATCAGAGTCTCAAATAAACTGTTCCTGTTTTCTTTCATAATTTTATTTCTTTTAGCTTTCCAGTTCATCTTTGTTGTTGTTGCTGTTCAGTTGAAACAATGTTTGACTCCAGTTCAGAAGTACCAGTATAAGCATTTTTCAATACAGCTATAATGTAAGTGACTCGCTGAAAGTCCTAGCTTATTATTTCTGCCTTCTGCTACTCAATTGTTAATTGAGATACTATCAAAACAAGCAAAAGTGCTGGTGCTTAGCTCAAACTTGGGGAAAAATTATCAGGAGCATAACTGCTGCTTCCTTCACACCCTGGGTCAGTCCAGCCAGAATCATTCTGGGAATCCACTTGTTGGCTGGAAGCCAGCACCTGGTTCACCAGCTGTCCCGATGACAGCCCAGTCAGAGATGCACACTCATAAGACCAGCCTCAGAGCTTAAATTCATAACTTTGCTAGACACTGGAAATCACAGTCTTAATAAAGACACTGGATTCATGGCTTATTACAACAATCTATAAGCCACTAAGCCCCTTTTTTGTCCTATGGTGTTAATAGGCCAGTTCACCTTGAATCGTCCCTTAGCTTAGCATAGGGGTAGGCACTAGGTGGACCATGGGCCAAATCCAGACCACCAGATGCTTTTGAATGGACCCTGAAATATTTTTATTTACTTATCATCATTGATGTTTTATTATTATTATTATTATTATTATTAATTTCTCTGAAGTCTGGCCCTTCACTTTGACCAAGAAATTTAGACCTGGACAAACAATAATGGACTGCCCCTAGTTTACCATATTCTATCGGTTCAACCTGGCATCTAGCTGGGACACTGGGATTACCTTTCCCAGGCCTACAGAAGAGCTCTGTGTAAGCTCCAAAGCTTGTCTCTCTCACCAACAGAAGTTGGTCCAGGACAAGATCTTACTTCACCCACCTTGTGTCTCTAATATCCTGGGACTCCCGCGCTACAAAAACAGAGAGCCTAGGACAGACACCTGGCCCCTGAGCTCTCCCTAGCAGGACCCGCCCTTGGAAGGGAGGTGATGGGCTCATCAGCAGCAGACCCTCCCTCGGGTGTGCGATTTCCCCGGCAAACACATCCTTAGCCTCCCACTCCCTCCAAGGACCCCAGTACTAGTGGCGATCAGCGCTGCCCCCCCCGCACCCTGCATGTCACACTGCCCAAGGGGCGGCTCGCCCCAGCCCTTCGCCCCGCAATGCAGCAGCGCAGCTGCTCGGGGGCACTGACCAACCCTGGGACGCGAACCCGCAGCAGAGGCGAGACCAGCCGCCTCGGGCGAAGGCACCTGACCGAGGGCCACAGCTGGACACTCAGACCCCCAGCACCGCGCAAACGCCAGGCTGCAACCTTTACCTGCGGCAGGGAGGCTCAGCCCCGCTCTGGGCGGCCGGGCTGCCCCCGCCTCAGGCGGGCCGGTCTTTGCAGGAGAGGCGGGAAGCCGGGCTGGAGACCTGCTGATGGAGAAGGCGCCCTACACTGCCCAGAGACCGGCGCCCGCCGGGCTCCGCTGCCGAGGGGAGGAGCCCGGCGCTGCACAGCCCAGCGGACCTGCAGCTGCGTGTGAGCGCCGCCGCCTTTCCCCCGCGCCTGAGCGGGGGGAGGGACGCGCTCAGTCCTCTCCGGCGCCCGAGACGCGCTGGCCCTGTTGCCAGTTCCTGGGGAGCTTTGGTCGCTGCCCAGCTAGGGGGACAGAGACGTCGGGAAAGGGGCCGGCTGCCTCTATAGCACCCCTCCGCGGGGCATGGCAGGCCCCAAACGTTTAAAACTCTTGAGTCAGGCTGCCAGGCATCCTGGGATTTTATCTTTCTTTCTTTCTTTATTGAAAAGGGCCCCAAACTATATATATAAAAGCCACTAAGCCCCTTTTTTGTCCTATGGTGTTAATAGGCCAGTTCACCTTGAATCGTCCCTTAGCATAGGGGTAGGCACTAGGTGGACCATGGGCCAAATCCAGACCACCAGATGCTTTTGAATGGACCTTCTGGTTTGCGATCATTTTCAAAGGTTCCTTTTCCCCCCTCACACCCGCGCTTTGGAGGGCCTCAGGGAATCACCAGCCTCCAGAAGCTGGGGCTTTAAGAAAAACCATCAACTATCACGAGATGAGCAATAAGGTTACAGGGAGCAGCACCATCGCATTTTCCCTTCTTGGAAGTCAGGAACTGTGTTAAGGAGGGTTAGCTCCAGTTGTACTGTGGTAGCACACAAAAGCCACATTGTTACAGACACTGTTGTAAATGCATAGTCAGACAGACTCAGCTCCTCAAAAGGTATTTAGGCACCTAAATCCCACCAATTTCTATGGGAGTTTTGTGCCTAAATACCTTTGAGGTCTGGGCCACAGTCTCTGCTCTGAAATGTTACAACTTTTATTCCATCAACCCAGAGAGACAAAGCTCAATGATGCGCAATGTCCTTCATCGAACTCTAAGGAAGCCCTATTAATCCTAAAATAACTTATATATCATCTTTTGCTATGTTAATGTTTTTAAAAAAAACTATTGCTATGTTTGTATGCAGTGTTACTGTAGCCATGTTGGCCCCAGGATACTAGAGAGACAAGGTGGGTGAGGTAATATCTTTTATTTCAAAGGCTTGTCTCTCTCACCAACCGACATTGGTCCAATAAAAGATATTACCTCACCCACCTTGTCTCTCTAGTATGGCTGTGCTTGTAATTCATGCTCTAGGACGGTACCACTGCCCTCTACTGCATGGATTCATAAGGCATGAGGGATGAACTGTATGCCATAGTCTGTATATATCTAGCAGCGTTTCTTTCCTTTTACTCAATTTGTAGGCGGCTGTGCTTTGGGATCAAAGTTCTAAATCCTGCACTCCGCCATCACCTTTTGAGCAGCTAGAGTGCATAGTGAGAAATGTTCATTCTTCGAATGCCATAGATTTGCCACACTATTACTAATCATTGCCTGGTTTGTGTTCTATTATACAGAGAGCACTACACAAACATTAACCCTTATGCCCCTCAGCCCCAGTGAGGTGTAGAAATATTCTTATCCCTGCTTCACAGACAAGGCAACAGATACAAAAAGATTTCTTGACTAACTCAAAGCCACACAGTGGCTTTGCAAAATATACCCTAGAGTCCAGATAATGCAATAGTCTTTTACATAATAGTACTTTCATTCTAAAGGATCACATTAGATTTTGCTTTCCATACCATCCTGAATGTACGGTATATATATGCCCTTTGTACTGCTAATGTGATAAATTATCTATTTAGGTATAAACTGGTCAATGTCTGTGGCATTTTCCTAATATGATACAAGAGGTGCAACTATAGTGAAACTTTTGTTAACAGTCACCTACTAACCCTGGCAACCTGCCCTTATGGGCAACAAAATCTCAATCTCTGTTGTACTACATTATGCAGCTGCTTGTTAGAACTTCAAAGAAAATAGTCACTTACATGCCCACCATTAACAGTTTTCCCTGTGTTGTTTTTTTTTAGTCTCATCCCCAAATGAAATGGTCCACTGCAGTGTCATTGAATAGGCAGAATAAGGGATGTCTTAAATCAGTTATTAATGTTTACAATTTTAATAGATAATAAAATGATAAATAACCTATTGTCCTCTTGACCAAATTGGCCGAATTTTTTGTTCTTGATTTCCTACCTATTTTTTAAAATGATATTGGATCGGCTGTTTTATTAAAATAATCAAACATTTAACACAAATTTGCATTTTGTAACATATTTTAAAAGGTTACTATGGTTATCCTGAGTTTTAGTGTCTTACTTCATACGTCTTAACCTGATTTGCTGGAAAACTGGTCCTGATGAATGCACAACCTCTTCCATCATGATGGAAGTACTCCCTACAGAATCTTCCATAGATTCTGTTGAGCCTATCCCTAGTATTGCTCACCTCCCATTCAAACTGCTTGTATTATGTTTTGTGATTGCCTCTATCTGACAAGGAGAAAATCCTCATAGTGTCTCCCAGCCTTCCCTCAGACTTGATTGTTGACTTTTCCGCAAAGTGGCTGACCTGGCAGTAGGCCAAAGGCACCCTCTACACTGTTCCAGAGTAGCAGCCATGTTAGTCTGTATTCGCAAAAAGAAAAGGAGGACTTGTGGCACCTTAGAGACTAACAAATTTATTTGAGCACAAGCTTTGAGCTGTAGCTCACGAAAGCTTACGCCCAGATAAATTTGTTGCCTTCTACACTGTGAAAATTAATATATTAGAGTGGCCACTTAATGCAGATATTACTGGGTTATAGCACAGTTTGGTAAGAAAGTTAAGACATGGTTTGGTCCCATCTACACAGGCATCACCAAAATCACGTGAAGCCTATGAGGGCATTAGTCTGTAGTAACCAATCAGCCCAAAGGGTATAATTTATAGTGTACCTTGGACTAAAGGTATGCAGAACTGGGAAAGTGGTTCCTTACCAGGCATTTATTTATATTTTTATGTTTCTTTCACAGGTTCTGTTATTCCAACACTACGCACAGATGCTAATGTAACAAGTTCACTTTGCTAGAGGTTTGTTACTGTGCTCTGTGGGAGCCTCCCTTGGAATTAAAAAATAAAAATTATCTGGAAAGCAATTGTCTTCCTTTGGTTCCTTGCCTGGGAAATCACTATAAACCTGCTGCATATGCAATATTTCTTTCTCCCGTGCCTACAGTGCTCTCCCTATCCCAGTGTGCCAAGTGCCCACTCTCTTCATTCCGATCTCTCCTGAAACCCCACTTCTGCAAGGTTCACAATATTAACCCACTGACTGAAAAGCAGCGTATGTACTACCAGGCTCAAAGGATTCCAATCTATTGTGTCTGATCTTTGTGTGCCTTTCAGACTGCCAGCCCCTTGCAGCAAGGATGTCTGCATTTAGTACAGCACTTGGTAAGTTGTCTGCATGCACAAAATAAATAAAACAAAACATTCTGCATAGAGAGCAGCTACAGAATTAGGTCCAAAATTGTCTCAGTGTTAAAAGCCAGAGCTACACATCACACATTAAATTAATTTATAGAAAAGTTGTGGCCAAGAACGTTAATACACTGGAGGCTCCTTGCTAAGAACATGAGGTCATTACCAGACTCAAATTATATAATGGAAGACTCAAGCTTCTCATTTATTTGCACAGGATGCCCTCAATGTAATTATTGGCTTACGTGCCCATCATTTTCTTTTATTTAAAAATAAATAGTTTTGCCATCCCATTTAAAGAAGCAGACCTATCACCCTGCTGCAACAAAAATACAGCTCAGAGAGGCAGCCCTGCCCCACATGAATTGGATTTCTGAAGGAGATCAGAACAAGGTGATGTACTCACCATTTGCAAGACCAGGAACCTTGCCCTCCACAAGGAAAAATAAACCTGCATTCAGAATTTGCTGATCATCATTCATTCCTCCATTCTTTGTAGCTTAACACCAAGCTTGTCACCTCCTGTGCTCTCTGGGCCAAATCCAGGGTACAGTGAGGTCCCATTAACTTCAGTGGGACCAGGATGTAATCTTGCATACAGGTCTTTTAGATGTCAGAGCTGGAAAAAGAGAATAAATTATGGTGTAAATTCAGAGTGAAAAGAACATAAAAGAGTCAGATCCATGGAGGAACAAGACAATCGGATGATGACTTGCAGCAAAATCTTTACTAGAACAACTTATTTATATAGGACCTTTCATCCAAACCAATCCCAATGTGCTTTAAAGACAGCATACAGAGGGATTGTTTCACCACCATTGAAATCCAGCCACCTCTCATCTGCAAGCAATCCATCTGGCACCTGCACACTTCATTAAAATTTATGAAGCAAGTGAAGAATTACTTATACAAATGAAGATCTCTTTTCCCTTCCCCACTCCCTTTGCAAAAAGTGCTATGGAAACTTTCTTGAAAATAAGTGCTCAGGATCTTTCATTTACATCTCATCTCCAACAGTACAGTGGCCTCTAGCATTAGGCTGGGACATTGGTTCATAACTGAATTAGAGAGAAGTGTCACTTAAGCCCTGATCCAACAAACACTTGAGCACTTGCATAACTTTATTCTTGTTAGCAGTCCCAGTGAAATCAATGGGCCTACAATTTGTGAACCAAGCATTTAATTCTCACAGTAGAAAAAAAAAGTCAGAAGATTGGCTTTAGAAGCATTACATTTGAAAAATAATTACTGTATCTTTTGCTTTGCCTTCAGTTTTTGAGCTCTCTCTCCACAGCTGTGAGACCAAAGGTACTGCATCAGGCATATCAGAAGGCCAAAGAGAACAACAGATGATCCAGTGCCAAGCTGCAAACTCAGGAGTGAAATATCAGCTAAAATCACCTCTGCCTGTTGAAAATGGTGCCAGTATTGGGTACCAGTTCTCTATACTCATAGCTTCATGCAATTGAACAATTCCCTCCCTTCTGGAAGGCCATACTCACCATGGCTGGTGCTGTGAGTGACACCATGCAAAAAGCACTCTGAAGGAGAAGCGCCAATCAGCATGTCTTGTTTAAAACTTTGGGGGAGCAAGAGAAGGGAGATTATACTAAC